TTTTTTTTGGTTTTTCTCCGGTACCGGGAACCGAACTCACGACCTTGCACTTGCCAGGCAGGCGCTTTTTGCCGCTGAGCTAAATCCCCAGCCCCATGTGCTACTTTCATATTCAGAAAAACAATCATCTTTCTCTCTGGGAGAAAAAAGCAAACACTAAGAATTTTCAAGACACTTAACAATGAACAAACCGGAAAAATCTGAGAATTGGTTGAAGTGGTCGCTCCGCCCAATGCTGACTCCGGCAGTGGAAATCACACCGAGAGCAAAGCACAAAGAAGGTGTCTTACCTTGGAAAGAACAAAGCCGAGGCTGCCAGGGAGCTGCGACTCCCACACTGAAAGCCCACGGCCGGCGTCCCCCTCCCTCACCTCCTGAACTTGCTCTCCTCCCTTCTCACTTCTCTCCTCCCTGTGTGTGGTTTGCCACTTGGGCACACTAGATCACGCTGCCTTGCTGGACAGCTGTCACTCTCGTCTGCACGTCCCGGCTGGGCAAGCGGTCGGAGTGAAGCCTCCTCCCTTCCCAGTGCTCGGCAGCGGGCAGGCAACAGCGCTGAGGGACTAAGCACACAGCACCGCAGGGAGAGCTCAGCCTGCCTGTCTCCACTCTCCTCCCGCTTCGCACACAGGTCACATGAACAGAAGAGGAAGAAAAGCCCTGGCCCGGGAGGGCGGAAATGCATAGCAGGAGGGGCCGCCTCCTACCTGGTCAGCAGATTCCCACTCGGAGTGTAGCTAAGGTGGAGCTCAGAGCCAAGGGCGTCTCTGCAGTAAGAGTAAAAGGCTCTGATGACTTCGAGGAACAGACTCTCGACCACCTGAGGGCCTGCAATCGGAAACAAAGTGGTCAGAGGGAGACTAATGATCTGTCCTTCAGTCAGTAGGCAGCACACTTGAAACAGAGAGTAGCCCACGTGCACGGGTCTTTCTCAGACGCCGAAACGCACAGAGCGTCACTTCAGTGGGACAACGGTAACGACAATGGCAGTGGGGGAGTAACATTCATGACAACAGCGGACGCCCCTGTGGGGCTCACTGTGGTGGACGCTGGTGTCGGCAGCGCACAGCCAGGAGCATACTGAGTCCTCTCCACATCACAGGAGCGGGTACCCCAGTGCGGGCCCCGGTGACACCCAAGGGGACCAAGGCTCAGAGAGGCAAAGCCGCCCACGCCAGCTCCTGCTGAAGCGAGTGCCAGCCAGCGCTACGTTCCGGTGCGCGTAAACTGCCGCTAGGGATCCACCTCTCCACACAAACACCCACGGAGGGGCGCAACTTCCCTATTCCGACTGCCTTTAGTCATGAGCTAGAACAACACAAAAGAAATAAAGCGAAGCCTGAAAAGCTTATGGAGCTTGACAGAAGAACAACCCCAGGTCGGGTCCTCAGGGGCCGCTCAGGCCTGAGTGTTAAGTGCAGTGGCTGTGTGGGTGAAGGACGCGTATGCATCCACTGCCCACAATAACTGCTCGAAGTGAGTGCAGGCCATGGAGGAACTGCGGGCCCACGCACATGCGTGTACCCAGGAGCTCGAGAGCACTTTGCTAACAAGAATTCTCAAGTCACTATGCGGAACTTTATTATTTTTTTGAGTCCTGGGAATTGAGTCTAGGGCCTTTGTGCTGAGCTATATCGACACTACTTTTTTACTTTTTAAGACAGGGTCTTACTAATTCACTAAACTGTTGGTCTGGGCTTGAACTTGTGATCCTCCTGCCTCAGCTTCCCAGAGTGCTGGGATTACAGATGTGCACTATCACGTCTGGCCTGTGTAAGACTTTTAAGTGGTCTCAGACTTGGGAACTGAGCCACAAAATTCCAAGATTCTGCAATTCCAAATATTAAATTCTAGCCAAAATAACGCATCGTTTGTATCTCATGGTGTATTAAGTCCCTGAGAACAGGGAATCTGTAACCAGGCCCCAGTGGAGTTACCTATTTCGGGCTTGTCGAGCAGACTGACCAGGATGCGGAAAGGTTTCAGGTACGCATGGTGCCGCTCCTCGACATCTGTGTCCAGGAACTTCTGGTGCAGTATCTGGGCCAGACTCTGTTTAAAAAGCCACACATTAGGACATCAAACAGGTGATGCACGACATTCTCGGATGTCTTAGTTGTTAAGCATTTGGGTGGAGAAAGAAAATCAGCCCCTAACACGAAAGTATTCCACCATTCTCACAACATGTTCCAAGGAACACAACCAGTGTCTACTCTGAAGTCTCACACGAAACCTACCTCAGAGTCAGATGACCCTGGCTGAGTCACAACACCCTGGCTGGGCTCGACTTTCCAGAAATTTCCTTTACCTCAACTAAAAGATCCTTGGAGAACTTTTCAAAAAAATAAGAGGACGGGTCTTGATAAGAATTTGAGATGTCAGTTTCGGGCACAATGGTATTTCCTTTAATATCTGAACCTGTAAAAGAGCACACACCGTGAGCTGTCGAGAGATCTATGCTTTGCATGGCATTGCGCACAAGCCTCACGCTCTAATATGTCTTAAAGACTTCGTTCCTCCAAAAGAAAACCCCGATCAGATCATGCTATACTTCTGCTGTTCTTTCCTACTCTGGAACTCAAACCCAGGGCCGCGCACTTGCCAAGCTGACGCTCTACCACTGCGCTACACTCCAGCTTGTATCTCCTTCCGACACGGGTGTGGCCACGGATGAGGCAGCCAGAACTCCAACTCACTGCACATCAGTTACATGTGCTTCAAGAATCCCCCTCGTCTTCTACAAGTATGATTACACGAGGATGACGGCATGAGGACCGTTTGCAGACCAGTGTTTATGTGTGAAGTCAAGATGGCCTCTTATACACACTCTGCCTTCTTCTGGGGCCCCGGATGAGGCTGCCAGGTCCTGCAGCACAGAAGAACATCTCTGCGGAACGGACCCGGACAGCAGGGCTCCTGGGACCCAGCTGGTGGAGCCCTGGGTCCCTCTATACACAGAATACCAGGTCCTACCTATAAGGAGCAGAGCCATGCATTTAACAACATCTCCTCTCACTAAAAGTCCTTAGAGAGCTACAATAGTCTTACAACCCTTAGTAAGTAAGCTTCCTTCCTTACTGAAACTCTTCAAAGTTTTACAACCAGGGAGAAGAAAGGGAAGACAAAAATTGCAGAGGGCATCCTGACTTTGGTGTGCTAAAAGTTCTGCAATCCTACAGTGGGGCTCAGCGAAGCTATGCTGTCCCCTAAGGGCGCTCTGCACAGCCCTGTTCTCAGGTGCGTGCACGTGGGACTCATATAAGGGCTCATGCTCTCCACAGTTATCTAAATACGCTCTGAAAACCTGCTCCTGTATTTACACGTATCCTGCAATATCCGTGGCTTTTCTACACACACACCCTTATCCCATACAACCAGCTTCTAACAGTAGGGCTTAGCTTCTAATTTGAGGGGTGTCCTTTTAAGCTCTAGGGATTTTTAAAATCCCACCTATCTCCGCTCCTTTTTCGAAAGCTGCAAATAGCCGAAGCTGTGTGTGGGGGGCAGCCCTAACCAGCCAGCGCTGCACTGAATGCGGTGTCTTCCACACTCTGTGAGTCAAAAACTCATGGCCAAGACCGGAAGTCAGCTAGGAGGCCGCACCGTCACTCTGACTTTCAGCGACGGCTCGCTGCTCGGTACCTAGCAACCAGGCGTAGAGTCTTCTGTTCAGGGACATGTCCCTCCGCAGCAGGGTCTGGGTGGCGGCCGAGAGGAGGTGCACAATGTCGGCTCTGAGCAGGGGAATGGTCCTTTCATTGGGGTCCTATCGGAAGGACAGAGAAAACTACACGTAAGGAAAGGAATGGTAAAGGAGGTGGCTGACTTTTTGGCACACAGCCCCTTTTCAACCATTTATTCCGAAAGTCAGTTCCCAAAAGCGGTTCATTTGCCAGGTGTGGTGGTACATGTCTGTAATGCCAGCACTGTGGGAGGCTGAGGCAGGAGGACTGCAAGTCTGAGCCCAGCCTGGGCAACTTAAGGAGACCCTACCTCAAAATAAAAAATAAAAGGGCTGGGGGTGTCCCTCTGTGTGGAGGCCCTGAGTTCAATATCCCAGGATCACACTCACACACACAGGAAAGAGGTTGGTATGTTCCACATTGCCCACAGAAAGAAGCTGTTCAGTATCTGCTATGGAAACATCACCCACACAAAAAGGAACAAGGTCCTGTGACTGACCGAAAGCAAAGTGACCACGAGGTGGCTCGGTGACCTCTCGAGAAGACACAGCTGGAGGTCGGTGCCCCTGGCTCAGCCCCATGCCCCGGGAAGAAATCCAGGAGAATACAGAGGACTCACCAGACAGGTGTAAAACGGGAAGAAAAACAGAACGATTTCCAGATTGTTTCTCTGCACAAGCACATTCGAGTCCAACAGGGAGGCACACAGTGACTTCACCTGTCAATGACAAGCAACACTAACAGTTTCTTCCAGACAGGATGGTGATATAGCTCAGCGGCATAAGCGCCTGCCTGGCAAGTGCAAGGTCCTGAGTCCGATTCCTGGTACCCAGAAGAAAAAAGTTTCTCCCAGAGATGCGTGACATAGTCTGCAGCCACCACACACAGGCACTTCGAGCCTGGACACCATGCAGCACCTCCCGCAGTGAGCACGCTGCAGTCAGAAGGCTGGAGTCAGGGCCGTGGGGCGGGGCAGCCGCCCCAGTCCCATCTAAGCACCACGGGGCACAGGTCAGGTGCTGGAGCTCCATCTGCCATTTCCCCCTTGGAGAGACCTCGTGGGGCAGAGCTACCGTCCTCCGCAGAGGGGACGGGCTCATTCCTACCAAGCCACAGCCCTTCTGGGCCATGAACTCATTTGTACATTTCAAGCTCAAAGCGTGGGTCCTCCACCAGGTGGCGACAGACAGCCACGCTGAGAAGCACAGGAGGCCTGCAAGGGGCAGAGACGCGGAGGCTCCCATTTCCCAGCTCCTGGAGGGCACCAGCCGGGTGGGAAGAAGGCTTCCCTGGAGGGGCCTGGTAATGGACACGTGGCTGGCCCGGGGAATGAGGTCTGAGAGTGCTGAGGGCGGAAGGCGCAGAGCCAGGGGTGGAGGAGGAGGAGGAGGTGCACGTGTGACACGGGTGGGCGGGAGGAGACAGGACTGAGGCCACCGTGGCAGTGGCCAGCTGTGCGGCGGAGGCGGCACGCGGCCTCAGGGGCTCCTTGGCTGTGAGCACCTCCTCCCGGACACGCCCCCTAATCATGTTTGAAACCCGACTGCGCTATGTTGCTTCCTTGTCCTGCTTGACAGCTCACCATCACGCCCCGGGCCCTGGTGACCTCGCGCCGCCCTCCCACTCCCTGATGGCCCCGCGGCCTCTCGACCCCTGCTCCCCAGATGCTCTGTCTGTGGGCCCCGCGGGAAGAGAGCACGCACCGTGAGCTGCTGGTCGGTGCCCAGCATGAACCTCTGCTCCCGGCCCGGCGAGTCCCTGTTGATGTGGCTCACCACGAAGAGCGAGGCCGGGAGGCGGATGGCCGGGCTGGCCAGGACGCTGCCCCACAGCGCCGTGTAGAACACCTCCCTGCCCACCACCAGCGACAGTCTCAGCAGCAGGGCGTCCGTTCTGCGGGGAGAGGGCACGGATCTCAGGGTCTGTCCCGCCCGCCCTCCCCGAAGCCTTGTTCTGAGCTTCAGGCATCTCCGCTCTTCTGGGTGTCCACCCGCCCGCTGTCACACTGGCGTCATGTTGCTCAGACAAACGTCAGGGAGGGGCGGCTTCCCGGCCAGGGCAGGCACCGGATGGGTCCTGCTGCGGTGGCACTGAGACCGCCTGCTCGCCAGCCTTGCTGGGGACGCCGAGACACTCACAGGAAGGGGAGCATCACCACGAGCAAGAACATGAGCAGGTCAACCATTTCATTTGTTTAAATATTTATTTTTGAGGCAGACTAGTCTCAGACTCATGATCCTCCTGCCTCAGCCTCCTGCGTGCTGCGATTACAGGTGCGTGTGACTAGGCCCAGACAGACCGACCATCACATTATGACAGGGGTCATTTGTGGATGCCGTGACTGAAGACTTGAGCAGCTACAATGGTACTCCCACCCGAGCACAGCCACCGCTGAGCCAGACGACCTGTGACTTTGGAACCAGGGGCGAACCTGGCCCGGCCTCCCGCTAGCCTGCAAATCCACACAGCCGGAGCTGTGTTCCTTCTGACCGCCACCGCACGTCCACACAGAGACCGGCACCAAGATCCAACAGCTACTTCCCGCCCATCCGAGCCCGCTCTCCAGGGTGCCAAGTCACACCTCTTTCTGGGAGGCACTGTGACAGGACGGCCTGTTCCCATGGACGCCGACTGGCCAAGGTGGCCCTGCCTGCTGGGCGCGGCACCTGCAACTCAGAGCACCATCCCTGCCAGTACTGGATGCAGCCTGCAGGCTGAGTGACAGAATAGCCAGCGACCCGGTGGAAGGGATTCGCACGCAGGGCCTCCAGAGTGGACAGTCTGATTCCCGCCCATGAGTGTTCCACTTCCCGCAAGCTTTCAGGTGTTTTTTTTTTTTTTTTGAGACAAGGTCTCACTACGTAGTGCCATGTGGCCTTGCACTTGCTTATGTAGCCCAGGCTGGCCTTGAACTCACGGTGATCCTCCTGCCTCAGCCTCCTAAGTGCTGAAGTTATAGGAATGTGCCACTACACCTGGCTTCCCTCAGGCCCGATGCAGTGTCACAGGCAGGTCACCCGGGCTTCTGCAGTTGGTGTCCTGTGACTGGGTCCTAGCGGTGGGATCTGGGACAAGTTCCACCTCGTGACATTCGTGAGAATGAGATGAGTCCCCAAGTGAAATGTTGTGCAGGAGCAGGGCTGGGGCTCCTGCCACACTGCCCTCGGTCACCACCGGCTCTGCTGTTCACCAATGCTCTGTGCCCATGCCTGGTGAAGGGCACACACTGGCACTCAGAAGACCTGTCAGGTAACTGTGGCTCCCACACTTCTGTTATAACCCTCAACCTTCAGCACAATTTTCTTTTCTTTCTTTCTTTGGAGACAGAGTCTCGCTATGTAGTTCAGGCTGGCTTTAAACTCACTGTGTGGCTCAGGCTGGCCTCAAAAGGAAGGCCGTGGGCATCACAATCCCCAACTGGAAATTATACTACAAAGCTACTGTGATAAAAACAGCATGGTACTGGCAAAAAAAAAAAAAGACTCGAGGATCAGTGAAACACATTAGAAGATGCAGAAACAACTCCAGACACACTCAGCCACCTTATCTTTGATAAAGGTGCCAAACATGTTCACTGGAAGAAAGATAGCTCTTTAATAAATGGTGTTGGAAAAACTGGCTTTCCACATGCTGATGATTAAAACTAGACTCATATTTTTCACCATGTGCTAAACTAAATCTGAAATGGATCAAAGATCTAAATATTAAAACAAACACTAAATCTGCTGGAAGACAGAATAGGTAAAACTCTTGAAGACATTGGTGTAGGCAAAGACTTTATGAATAAAACCCCGATCGCACAGGAACTATCATAAAGAATCAACAAGTGGGATCTCATCTTATAAAGAAGCTCTTGCACAGCAAGAGAAACCACCAGCAGAGTGAGGAGACAACCAGCAGTGTGGGAAAAAATGTTTGCCAGCTGTTCCTCAGACAATGGATTACTATTGAGAACATATAAAGAATTAAAAAAAAAAAAAAATCAGACCTCCCAAATTTAAAGACACAATCCAAAAACGGGCCTCTAAGATGAATACACATTTCTCAGATGAAGAAATACAAACAGCAAATTAATATATGAGAAAATGTTCAACATTACTGGTCATTTGAGAGATGCAAATTAAAACAATACTGAGATTCCACCTCACCCTGGAAAGAATGGCTACCATCAAGAAATTCACCGACAGCAAATGCTGGCAGGGCTGTGGGGAAAAAGGGACCCTTCTCTCACTGTTGGTGGGTGCGTACACTGGTGCAATCACAGTGGAAATCAGTGTGGAGATTCCTCAGAAAACTAGGACTAGAGATTCCATTTGACCCAGCTATTTCCCTTCTGGGTATTTTTCCAGAAGAAGTGAAAATATACCAGAGTGGTACATGTGCACTCATGTTTATAGCAGTACAATCTGTAATAGCTACATCTCGGAAATAATCCAAATGCCCATCAACTGAGGAATGGATAAAGAAGATGAGGTCTTTTTATACAATGGAGTACTACTCAGCTATAAAGAAGGGTAAACTTGAGGGTTTTTAGGTAAATGGGTGCAACTTGAGACCATACTCATTTTTTTTGTTTGTTTGTTTTTTTTGGTTTTTCTCCGGTACCAGGAACTGAACTCACGACCTTGCGCTTGCCAGGCAGGCGTTTTTGCCGCTGAGCTAAATCCCCAGCCCCAAGAGACCATACTCATAAGTGAAATAAGCCAGATGCAAATGTGTAAACATCATATTGTCTCCCTGGCATGAGAAATTGAAATCCAAAATGCAGAACAGATATTGGGAAATGGGAAGAAACTGTTCAAAAGGAAAGAGAAACTGGGATGGGGGAAGGGAGAAAAGAAAGAAGGGAAAAGCAAAAAAAAAGCTTATATATATAAGATAGTTAAGATGGTTACACTTCTAATTTCTCTTAGTTCATTAAAAAGGTTTGTGCTAATATTGTTTAGACAATTAAATGGCTATAACCTGTACTCTGAGTAACTAATTTAAGGATAACAATATGCAATGTAGTAACCATTGTTACTCTCCTATTATCTTGTTTTGAAATTTTTTTTTTCACTTTAAAATAAAAAAAAAAATCGCCTGGTGTGGTGGTGCAAGCCTGTAATCAGCACTTGGGAGGCTGAGGCAGGAGGATCGTTGTTGAGTTCGAGAGCAGCCTGGGCTACAAAGTGAGTGCAAGGCCAGCCTGAACTACATAGCAAAGACCCCGCTCCAAAAAAAGAAAATTACTTCTCGGCCTTTTGGCTAAGATCAAGTGTTAAAAAAAAACAACAATAAAACCCAGCAATAACAACAACCAACCCCAGGGTCAAATCCAGAGCCATGGAAGGGGTGGGACAGCCCAGGGCCCAGAAGTCCTCATCAGTCAACCAAAAGAAGAATGCATAAATATTACTAGATTGTTTAAATCAGGGTATCTCAGGGCGGTTGGCGGTGAAGACCTGCAATTCAGGCTACTCAGGAGGCTGAGGCAGGATGATCATTTGGGCCCAGGAGATGGAGACCAGTCTGGGCAACACAGCAAGACCCCATCTTGAAAAGGGAAGCAAACAACAAACGTTTGTGTCAGCCTCAGCACTGCCGACACTCGGGCTGGATGCCTTGTCGTGGCCGGCTATATGCAGCACAGGACGTTTGCAATACCCTGGCCTCTGCCCAATTCCAGCAGCACCTCCCCCGAGCCGACCACAACCAGGGTAGGGAGGGATTGGGCAACATCCACCCAGGGGAAATCCCGATTCAAATGGAAATTTCCAGTAAGCCAGCTGATCTCTCACAAACAAATTCTTTTGGACACAGGGTCTCCCTGTGTAGTTCAGGCCTGCACTTGCTACGGAGCCCAGGCTGGCCTCCTCCTGCCTCAGCATCCCAGTGCTGGGACTATGCAGGCATGTGCCACCTGCTGGTTTACAAACTACTGGAACAGTCACCTCTGGCCTCCACAGAAGAGGAGCTTAGTTGTTCTCCTGCTTCTAACCTTGTTTTCTTAGCGAGCAAAACAGCTGCATAGCTGTTCCACAGGCGCTCTTCAGAGATTTCTGGCCGGCAGCAGATAACGTGTATGCCGCCAAGGGTCACGGAGGCGGGGTGAGCAATACCGCCCAACTCCGGCCACAGTTTCCATCTCTCGCAGTTTACCAAAGAGCACAAACCAGGACTGGTATCCACTGCCTCCACAAAACGTGTGAGTCACCCCGGCCTCATCCGCCTGGCCCGACGCCTCCCTGTGTGCCGGCCTCGGCGACCCCGTGCACCTCTCTCCTCCTGGGTGTTCCGCTCACCTCCCAAGCACTTCTGGAAGCAGCTGCCAAACGCTGGCAGACTAAAAAGGAGACAGCACTGACACCAGCGGGGGCTGTCCCCTCGCGGGCGGTGCCTGTCACACCCTTGCTCAGAGCTTAGGGAACCTTTGACCAGCAGACCAGAGAGCTGATAACTAACAAGTCCCGGGGCGGCAGGTGCTGGCTAGGCTTGGTTTCTGTGAGAGCCGCATCTATCCAGTGACTCACGCAGCTCTCAGCTCTCGGTGCGACAAATGACAACTAGGGAAAAAATCACCAATGTTAAACAGCTTTACCAACTGTTCACATGAACCCTTGTTCATCAGCTAAGAGAACAAACAAACGTCCTCCGACTACTATTTTCACGGGCTTGCAAATTCAGCAGATGGCAATCAACTGGGGGAACTACACGGGCATCCGTCAGGTGATGGAAACCCCCGCTCACAGATGCGCACACCTGTACACAGGCACACACTCCGTTATCGGAGCAGGAAGTGCAGCGGAACTGCTCGAGGAGCCTGGGCTGGGGCTTGGAAGACACCAGGCCCGGTGTGGCCCTCCCGCGGCCTCATGTGTGACCCTGCCATCCGTGACCCGAGCCCGCTGCCCCGGCCGCGCTCTGCGCTAACAAGACAGAGCCTTTCCCGAGGAGGGACGGTCCGGGCTTCTCTGCTGGGAAACAGTCAGGCCAGAGCCTCCTTGGCTGTGTGAAACCCGACAGGAGTGCACACCTCTGGCTTCGGTTCTCAAGCCCTGGTTCCGACGCCAACAGAAGGCACCCTCTGTCCCCAGGCCCTCTTGTTCCGCCCCTAACACTTCCCCTCTGCCCACACCAGGGCAGCACGGCGGTGCTCTGTGTACTCGGATGGAAATTTCCAAGCAGAGTCACCGTTGCTGTGGAGAGGCTCTTAAAACAGCCCCTATCCGCAGAGGCCAACCACTGCAGCATCTCACAGGACTGTTAACACGCTGTGGTCAGGTCCCAGGTCCTGTGTTTTGTGGTACGGGGGACTAAACCCAGGTGCTCACACGTCCTAGGTAAGTACTGTACCACTGAGCTACATCCTCAGCCATTTTTAATTTAGTTTACTTTCGGGACAGGGTCTTGCTAGTTGCTCAGGCTGGCTTTGAACTTGCAATCCTCCTGCCTCAGCCTCCTGAGTAATTGTGATTACAGGCATGTACCACGGTGCCTGGGTTAGAACTGAGTTCCTTATAATTCTCTGAGGAAAGAACAATGCGTATACCCAAGAGTGTGAAAGTTTAAATGGACTCACACTCACTCACACCTAAGCAGCAACAAAACATGTGTAATGTAATCCTAGCACTCAGGAGGCTGAGGCAGGAGGACTGCAAGTTCAAAGCCTGAGGCCAGCCTGGGCTACACAGTGAGTTCAAGATCAGCCTGAACTACGGAGTGAGACTTTGCAAAAAGCAAACAGATATACGGAGTGAAACGAAACCAAGCCGCTGCATGAACTTTTGTGCATAGGAGCTTTACAAGTCCTCAAGGTACTGCTGCAATGTGTTAAGACAATGCCTTTGTAGGCCCTGCCTTTATGAACCCGGCTTTGCTTTATTATTTAGGAGACAAAAGATGAGGGATCCTGGAAGCTGACCCACATGGGCGGGGCCGGCTCTGGGCTTGCTGACGGTGGACTGTGATGTGCCCCCACCTGGCACTCTCACTGCAAACGGGGGTAACCATAGGACACAGGGATTCGGCGGACAGGGAGTGGAACGCATGCAGAAAGGGCCATTGCTTCCCGGGCAGAGGAGGCGCGAGCTCCCAGCTGTGACTCTGGATAACTCTAACAGCCAGGACAGTGAAAACCCTGCACTGTGGCCCCTCTATAATTAGTACCTTCCTCCAGGTAAAGCACCTGCTCTCTCTCGGCTTGGGACTCCCCCTCTGGCTAGGCAATGTGGTGAGGTTAGGGAGAGCATGTATTTAAGATCACACATCTATAATCCCAGCACTCCCAGCACTCAGGAGGCTGAGGCAGGAGGATCCTGAATTCAAGGCCAGTCTGGGATACACAGAGAGGTCATGGCCAGCCTGAACTATATATTGAGACTCCCGTCTCAAAAAAAAATCAAAAGAACACAGTATTGAGTGGAGCAGGGACCTCGGAGAAATTTAGGACGTCTGCCTCCCCCTGCGCCTTCCCAACTCTCGGAAGAGGTAGAATGACCCCGTCACCTGTCGTAGATCTCGGAGCCCTCCTCCAGGCCGGGCAGCAGGCCCACGAGGAAGGCCTGGAGGCTGGGCAGGAGCAGCTTCTGCAGCGGAAGGAAATACTTCTCATACAGGCCGAGGAGCACAGGCCGCACAGACATGGCCGCGTTTGCCAGGAGCGGAAACAGCCCGCAGCTGTGGGGAGAAGGAAAGGTGGGAGGTGTGCCACGGGCTGCGGGGAGGGTGGGGTTTGGTCTGTGCTGTTCCTGCAGTGCAGGGGTGGGCCCAGGGCCTGGCACATGCTAGGCAAGTGCTCTGCCCCCGGCCACGGCCCACCCTGGCCAAGAACGGCTCTGGGGCCAGCGGCTGCGGTGCCTGCCCCCCCGCCCCCACACTTATTTTGCTTGTCGTTTTCTGATCCCGGAACCGAAACGGGGAGGAGCACTGTACCTGTACAGGAACAAGTCCTTGGCCAGCCATTTGGTGCCCACGATTTTGAAGATGATCTCGTAGGTTTCCAGAGCTTTCAAGTGCACGCCGCTGGGCAGGGCGGGATGCAGGCACTGCGCTAGCCTCTTGCTGATGACCAGCCGGCGCGGCAGCAGGGAGTACTTCAGGTTGCTTTGCAGCGCCTGCAGACAGGGGAGGGCCTTAGCGGAGACCGGGGAGACCGCCCGGCGGCTGTGAGGAGGCGGCAGAGGGACGGCACGTGCAGAGCCAGGGAGAGCCTCAAGCCAGGCTCCGGGGCGGCAAGGCCTGGGAAGAAGCCTGCTGCTGACGCGGGAGGAGGGCTGGCACCACAGCGACCGTCACCATCGGGCCAGCTGCTCGGGCCCATGTGCAGATGAGGGCTCTGTGCCGCTACCTCAGGAAGCCGCCAGTCCACACGCCCATGAGAAAGCACACAGGGGCCTGGAGTAGGAGCCGCCTGGCCCTAGGAGGACGCTGGTGCATGTGCCATCTCCCGGATGCCTGCCCAGGGAGATGGAGCGGCCCGAGTTCTCCCATCGCTCTCCTGGCTCAGCTCCCCAGCGTGGTGGCCCTCAGTGGGGCTCAGCTATGCCGGGGGACACAGCCTGGCATCACCAGCAGGTGGTGGTGGGGATCCAAGTGCACAGCACACCACCATGACCCTGGGACAGAGCGATGACGTCCCCACGAGGGTTCCATAAGCAGGACACATGACTTGTCTGTGGGAAGCACCCCGGGGTGGACACGGTGCCAGAGCTATTCCTGCGGCTCAGGGTGGCCACGGCAGAGGGCTCTCAGGGAAGGTTCCCAGACCTTCATCTCGGCAGTCTGCTGCCATGGTGAAAGTGGGTGCCGTCACTCACTCATCTGCTCATGCCGGACAAACCCTGGGTTCTAAGGCAGGGTGGCATGGCGGTGGTGTGGCAGACAGGAAGCAGAGGTCACACCCCAGGGAGCCCCTCTTCTAGGCTCCACCTCCTCCAAGCCAGGCCCTGCCTCCTTCCAGCCAGGCCCCGCCTCCTCCCTCCCACAAGTCTGTCATGAGCTCCACCATCATCTAGCCACCTGCCAAATGCAGGAGGCCCTGTGGGTCGCTACAGGCCTAAACCACCACACACAGGCTCCTGGTGCCCCTCAAAAGCTTCCACAGCACGGCTCCCACCTGCCCAGCTCCTTCAGACCCTAGCTTCACCCTCTGCCCTAACGCAGAACAATCTGCGGCTCCCACCTGCCCAGCTCCTTCAGACCCTAGCTTCACCCTCTGCCCTAATGCAGAACAATCTGCGGCTCCCACCTGCCCTTTGCAGTCCCTCACCAGGATGCTCCTCCCTGCACCTGGCTCATTCCGCTCCCACACAACACGCTCAGCTCGGGGGCAGCACCGTGCCCTGGCCATAGGCTGCAGGGGGCACCTGACTCATCTCTGCTGTCTTCAGCACGCTGGGCGAAACACCCTCAGCCGGAACCGCTGGCCTGTGCTCTAGGGAAAGGGACGGCTTTCCTCTTCCCAACAGAAACCCACCCTGCCTCTGACACACACTCAGGTTGTATGGGAGGAGAAGCAAGAGAAAGCAAATGATATTTTTCTTTTTCTTTCTCTGTCTCTTTTTTTTTTTTTTTTTTTTGTCTTTTTGAGACACGGTCTCGCTATGCAGTTCAGGCTGGCCTTGAGCTCACTTTGTAGCCCAGGCTGGCCTTGAACTCCCAATGATCTTCCTGCCTCAGCTTCCCGAGTGCTGGGATTACAAGTATGTGCCACCACGCCTGGCCTGTAAATGGTATTTTTCATCAAAGGCCTGAGGTCTAAACACACACATTCAATGAAACTGCATCTTTGCAAAATTAGACACAATTAAATATCATCAAAAAAATCTTCAAATATTACTCACGGGGAGCTGAGTACCTTAAAACGAGGGAAAGCCAGTAAGAGAATCTGAATAATGTGCTGAAGTGCATGAAAAAGGACCTGATGCCGCTGAAGTCACACTCTGTAATGGAGGGCCGCAGATAGGGCACGGTTATGGGTGATGAATGGGAAAGGGCACATCTTATCTGGGACATTTTCGAACACACCGGGGAGCAGGAACAATCCCCAAGTGACCATCAGCCAGCTCCTGTGAGCATTACTGCCAACCAGCCCTAAACACTTGGCCCTCAGGCAACAATTCTACAGTGCTGGGCCCCAAAGCGATGGGCGTTCTTCACAGTGCAAGCTAGGAGGGCAGGTGCTGTCTTTGCCTGAAAGAGCCGTGAGGCGTGTTTGTCTTTGTACATCTTAGAACAGAACCCAGGGGCACTCTGTCACTGAGCTATGTCCCCAGGTCTTTTCACTTTTTTATTCTGAGACAAGATCTTGTAAACTTACCCAGGTTGGCCTCAGACTTGCAATCCTCCTGCCTCAGCCTCCGAGTTCTAGCCTTACAGGCATGCACTGTCATGCCTGGCTTGGAACAGCTATTTTTGGACAAGATGGTCTTCTCTTTGTTAACTTCTACTAAATCCCTTTTTTGTATTCTGAGGACTTCTGCCATTTGCAGTTCCATGGCTGTCAAGTCCTTCCTTGGGGGGGCATTCGGGACTCAGGAACATCTGCGCCCCTCATTGTGCACGAGGCTTGATCCCTTTGCCCTCGCCCTGACCCTTGACCCCAGCCCATCAATATGACTGATGAGATGAAAGAACTGTGAGTCACTTCCAGCACCAGCTTTACAAGCTGGCTCCACGCTCAGCAGGCCCTTTTCCTCCAAGCTCATGAACCAAGGGGTGCCAGGAAGTCCCTCCCAGCCTGGGTCCCCAGGAAACCAGGAACCATGTCGTAAGTCACCCGGAGGTGACCTCGCCTGTCCCTATGAAGTGCCGTGTGTCTCGCATACAAATGCAGGGGGAGGGGCGGAGGGCCTGGGGCTGCCTGCACAGGCGTCCTCAGGACGGGGTTTAGCGTGTACCTTAGGCTCGGCGGAAGTGTCAGCAGTAAAGGGAAAACAGAACAGCTGTGACGGTGCTCGGTGAGGACGGCTCCGCGAGTGTCTGCGCTCCCTCACCCTTGCACTCGCTCTCTTCTCTGACAGCGCTCACACCTGCGCCAGACCAGGGGCAGCGACTGACGCAGGCACTGGGACACTGGGGATGCAGGCTACCTGGGTGCAAGCAGTGATACCAATCTGACGACGAGGAGGGGGCTGGGTGACGAAGGCGCCGGGTGCGAGACTGGCTGTGGGCACTCGAGCAAAGGGTGAGTCACGGCCCCAGTGGGCGGCCAGGAAAGGAGGAGCACAGCGTTTCTCAGATGGAGAGGGCTGACGTTTCTTCGTCTAAAAGGCTGAAAGTCATTCAGTGATTTATTCCCTCCTCTTTGCCACTAAACACTCAGAGCTTCAGCCTGGTGTGGTGGTGCATACCTATGATCCCAGCACTCTGGGAGGCTGAGGCAGGAAGATTCCAAGCTCAAGCCCGGCCTGGGCAACTTAGTGACTTGGTGAGGTGCTGTCTCAAAATTTTAAAAATGTGAAAAGAGCTGGGGATGCAGCTCAGGGCAGAGGTCCTGGGTTCAATGCCCAGCACCACAAACAAATGAACAAACACCCTCAGAGCTGCACAGGGTCCCCCACCACTGTGGCTTTCTCTGGTTGGACCTGGATTCAGACACGCCGTCTGTGAGCTGTCACCTCAATGCCCTCACACGAGAGCCGCGCGGTCAGCCAGCCCAGGCTCTGATGGACACTGCTCAGCAGGACCCGGGGTGGGGTTCCCACTGCCTCTCAGTGTGGTGACACGATGCCAGTGACGCTGAAGATAGAAGGGTCGCATGGGAGCAGCCCCTGCCTGCCAGGGTCACTGCCGAGCACCAGGCACTGCTGCTGGGGACGCCAAACGCATGGCCACCTTGGGGGAGGGGTGGCGGCCCCTCCAGGGGCCGGGCATTTTATCTACTGATCCACGAGTGGGACCCTGGGACCTCAACCACTCCCGGGTACACATCCGGAGAGAGCAGGGGTTCGAGCCGGGATTCGCACACCCTCGTTTTCACCAAAAGAGCACCGTGTGCCCCAAAGAGAATGGATCACGAGGAGCTGCGCACGCAGGGCAGCCCGATTCAGCCGTGCAGAGCGAGCAATTCCGACTCGGGGATTCGACGGCTCGGTGAGCCCTGGCCGCAGGGCCAAGTGCAACAACCAGTTCTAAAACAAGTCCTGTCGGTTCAGGCCAGGCCCCGAGTCAACACATTCAGAGAAAGAGAAAACAGAAGCGGGTGCCGGCGCGGGGGCGTCTGTGTCACGGGGATAGGTCTCCAGGGCAGGAGGACACATTCTGGAGACGGAGGCAGTGACGGCTGCAAGGCAGGAGCGTGCTCAGTGCCATGGGGTGGTAGAAGGGCGGTGAAGGGGGCCAGGCGTGGTGGCGCAAAGCAATCACCTTCCAGCTCTTGCACACCCCTGACTTCCTCTTCAGGTGAGCGCGCACACGTGGGTGTTTGCACACTGTGAATGCACACACGGTTCCTTGCTCGGGGAGTTAGTGAACGCTGTTTTCTAAAGTCCCAGGGGGTTTGTCTTTTTCTCTGACAGTGTCTTCACTCCTCCCGACCGACAGGCCCAGCTCCCGCGGGCGCACGGACAGTAGGAAGACCATTAAACCCGGCTGCACACTGTGCCGAGGAGCAGCGCCCGCCACCGGGGAGGAAGGAAGCCCCGCACACGGCCGGCGCCCGCCAGTGTCCGACCTCAGTCCCTTTCCTCCCCGACTCACACAGGGCCACAGGCGCGGGGCCCGGCTCTCTCCCCAGACCCCGCATCCTCTAAAGAGCTGCCAGGCTGGCCTGGCACAGGTGGGCCGGGCCGGCCTCACCCTGTTTCCCTCTCCAACTTCCGCCTCGGGTACTTTGCTCTGCTAGCGAGACAAACCCAGGAAGTACTCCCAGGGGAGTTTTGTGGCTTGGGTGGAGATTTCCAAAGCCCCAGAAGCCCAAATTGCCTGAACGTGGTGATGCACACCTGTAATCCCAGCACTTGGGTGGCTGAGGCAGGAGGTTCACCTGGACTTCAAAACCAGCCTGGGCTACATAGCAAGACCCTGTCTTAAAACAAAAACAAAAACAAAAAACCCAAATTGGCTGGCTATTAAGCTCAACATACATAGTTTGTGAGAAATGTTCTACCACTAC